ATGTGTGTGTGTTTGTGTGTGTATCTAGGTGAAGCAGCTGTCCACATTTAGTATTTTGTGCTGTGAGGACAGTCCTATCAGATTTGTATGGTCTATTTCAGATAAACACTCAGTTATCTTGATGTGTCCGCCTTTCAGGATGAGGTTGGTCAGTTTTCTGCTGACAGCAGATCTCAGATCCACTGGGTTTCCTTTCTGGATGGACGACAGCGAGTGTTGCTGTTTACAGAGGACACTGCTGTGGTGACTAAAGCTCGACAGTCGGAGAAGCTTGAACAGTTTGAACAGGAAGTGAAGGTCTCCCTGCAAAATCTTGGGCTGTCCCTCATCAACAACAGCAGCCAGCAGGAGATTGCTTACATCGGCATCCCTAGGTAAACTTTAATGAACACTGTAAATGATGTACAGTTAGCTAAATGTGTTTATAATGCTTCCAAACTGTATATTTTGTACAATCTGCAAAAGTGGAGGCTAGTACCGCTAGCTCGGTCCAACCGTGTATGAGGCTGGTGAAAATGATTGGGAGAGGGGGTGCGAATGCTTACCTTCACCAATTACAAACAAGGCCAGAATGTAGGGAGGAGAGTACCGCTAGCTCGGTCTAACCATGTATGAGGTTGGTGAAAGTGATTGGGAGAGGGAGCATGAACGCTTTCCTTCACCAATTAAAAAACAAGGCCAGAACGTAGGGAAGCTAGTACCGCTAGCTTGGTCCAATCGTGTATGAGGTTGGTGTAAATGACTTGGAGAGGGTGCACAAACACTTGCCATCACCAATAAAAACAAGGCCAGGAACTCAGCTGGCTGTGTAATTAACAAACTTCGGAGCACTGTCCAAACCGACCACGCGGTTGGAAGCCTCAAACAAACGGGAGTGGAGCGAACGCTGCCGCTAACCAATGGCAAAATATAAGTAAAAATACAAAAAAGTTCAATCTGGTCCTCTGGACATTCAAAAAAAAAAAAAACAAAGCAAAAATTTGCTATTTGCTTTGTTTTTTTTTTTTTTTTTTTGTTTTTTTTAATGTCCAGATGACCAGATTGAACTTTTTTGGATTTTTCTACCTGGATTATTGAGCATGCATCAGGATAAGTAAAAATACTACTCACTAGTGTTGAGTCACACACATAGTAGTCAGACACTGCAAGTTGGGAGGGGGCAAAAACCGCCGTAGACCACAACGAACAGAAGAAATACCTTGAACAGGGATAAACCATCGCAGCCCCTAGGAGGGCAAACACGCTACTCCAGCCAACGAGCAGTCGGGCCTCCGACGACGGTGAAAAGTTCCAAAGTCCAAAGGGCTGATGCCCTGAATTGAACTGCGCGCGAGAAGAATAAAAGGAGCAGAGCTGCGGATGACGTCAGGCTATATAGCCTCTGATTGGTCATCCGTGTCACTTGTTTTAGCACCGCCCTCTGGCAGTCAGTAGGAATGAAATGGAACCCCCTAGTGCCAGGCCTGGTAGATGAGTCTTAGTTCCTGGAGGTTAGCCAGGCTGAGTTTAAGGGTGCATTCACACCAGTCCTGTTTAGTCCGCTTTAATCGAACTCCAGTCCGTTTGCCTTGAAAGTCCTTTTCGTTTGGGGAGGTGTGAAAGTGCAATCGAACTCTTGATACGGACCAAAAAAGCGAACTCTGGTCCACCTAAATACCTAGGTCTCGGTTCGGTTGAAGTGAATTCTAGCGCAGTTCGAATGTAGTGTGAATGCAAGTGGACCAGAGATCACTCCAAAACAGGAAGTGGACTACAGTGCAGGGCATTCTGGGTAAATAAAACCAAAACAAACGTGTATTTCTCATACGTCATACGGAGCCGTCTCATCCGTCTTGTGTGAAAAACAGCATTCTCCATGGTCTTCTGCCTCATCATTCGCTCATGTTGAAAAATGTTTGTTTGGCAAATGAGCCACAGACAAAACAGAAATACTAAAATGGCTAAAATTTGATGTCACTCCATTTTTGTTTTGATTTCCAAAAGTAAGTTGCGCTCAGTGTGTTCTTCAGAGGTTTTTGTGTCGTTTCCTTCAGTAGTTCTTGGTGAAGCGCCACCACAGACGAGGTGGGGGAACATGTTAGCTCAACTGACTCTGTGCAGTGTGAATGCAAACGACACCAGCTGAAATGTAAACAAATGTTCCAAATTTTGGTCCCCAATCCAACCGAGTCAAGCTACAGGAAGCACCCTCCAGGTGGACCCACCACCTGGAGGGGGAATAAATAATAAATAATAATTAAATATATATATACAAACCGGATTCCAAAAAAGTTGGGACACTAAACAAATTGTGAATAAAAACTGAATGCAATGATGTGGAGGTGGCAAATGTCAATATTTTATTCGTAATATAACATAGATGACAGATCAAAAGTTTAATCTGAGTAAATGTAACATTTTAAAGGAAAAATATGTTGATTCAAAATTTCAGTGTCAACAAATCCCAAAAAAGTTGGGACAAGTAGCAATAAGTGGCTGGAAAAAGGAAATTGAGCATATAACAAACAGCTGGAACCAATTAACACTAATTAGGTCAATTGACAACATGATTGGGTATAAAAAGAGCTTCTCAGAGTGTCAGTGTCTCTCAAAAGCCAAGTCGGTAAGAGGATCACCAATTCCACAATTGTTGCGCAGAAAGATAGTGCAACAATACCAGAATGGTGTTACCCAGCGTAAAATAGCAAAGACTTTTAAGTTATCATCATCAACTGTGCAAAACATCAAAAGATTCAGAGAATCTGGAACAACCGCTGTGCGTAAGGGTCAAGGCCGTAAAACTCTACTGGATGCTCGTGATCTCCGGGCTCTTAAACGTCACTGCACCTCAAACAGGAATGCCACTGTCAAGGAAATAACAGAATGGGCTCAGGAATACTTCCAGAAAGCATTTTCAGTGAACACAATCCACCGTGCCATCCGCCGTTGCCAGCTGAAACTCTACAGTGCAAAGAGGAAGCCATTTCTAAGCAAGCTCCACAAGCTCAGACGTTTGAACTGGGCCAGGGGTCATTTAAAATGGAGTGTGGCAAAATGGAAGACTGTTCTGTGGTCAGATGA